ATCTTCTCCGAATAGACTCTTATCTTGTAAATTACACGGAACAAGTTAGGTGGACCCGAATTTACTCAAATATACTTTAAAACTAATTTAAGTATAAAAATTGTTAAGGTAACTGTGTAAATGTAAACAATGTTACTCACAGTCACTGACTTAATTTTACTCAGATGAATGTAACTTTACTGAGTTGAGTAAACAATATTTCTCAACTGAATGTAATGGTCACAGACTTCCTATCTTTTAGGGGTTATTTTGGGAAACTAAATTTTTTTAAATTTTATATTTTCGAATATTATCGTAAACTGAATGTAAAATTATATTTTTAAAAATCAAAATTTTCGAATAATATTTTTTTTCTCCTCTACTGAACACTACCTTGAGCACATCAAATTAGAGCACTGAAATTTTTGTCGTAAAGCTCTTGTCTTGAGCATATGCTCCTATTTTGCCATTTGCCCATCAGTATAATTATATTCGGTTGGAGAACATTTGCACTTTTACTTTTCAATGATTCTTTGTTCTCTCATACTCTTTTTCTGACACAGACTCACACCAAAATAGAAATATACATTTAAGTGATGCACAGAAAATGGACCCACTCGGTTCTCCCCCATTTACTCTCATGACAACTTTTTTATTTTTATTTTTATTTTTTCCTGAGATGTTAAAATTCAATATTAGAGATATTCTACACTGCAACACAATCGGCGGCCACACCTTTTGGAAAGTCGTATAAAGCTAAACTTTTTTTATGAATAAAGAATGTAAAGAAATCTTACATCTCGGATTTGCAAATACGCTAGAATCTTTTGAAAAAAAAAATAAAAATTAATGAAACCGATTAAGATTTCAGACACCGTTGATATCTATTTAATTTTACTTTTTTTGAAATATGTCAATTTCATTTTTCATACATGGAAAACAAGAAGGGACCAAAAGGGAAAAACCTAGGAACATAATTAGCTTGGAAACTTTGTCAAATTTGACTGGCAGACTGGTTGGATATCTATAATATTAATTTATAGGAGTGTAAGTTATATTTTATATCTTGACCTTTGATTTCATTTATAATTAACGACTTTAATATTATTTTTTTGGTACCAAACGACTTTAATTTATTAATAACATAGATGATTAAAAACTAATGTATCAATAATTAAAAATGAAAATAAGTAGTTTGATCCTATTTTATATAAGTACATGTGTGTACAAACGAGTATTTGACCCACCACCTAACTTAATATTCATTGTCTCACGTTATAAGAATCTTTTAGGGGCGTTTGGTTTAAGTTTTCTTATGAAAAGCCTAAGCATTACATATTGACATTTTTTAAATACAACATTTGGTTCAATGTTTTTAAAACATTCTCCAGCCAACTGATTTGGCTATACTTACACAATTCTTTGCAAAAAATAACAATAAACACATACCAACAGGCAACAATGCCACTTTGAAAGTGAAATTGTATGATAACTAGGCAAATAAGATACATAGAAGGAAGGATTTGACTTAACTAATCTTATATTATGAGTGTGCTTTTTGAAAACTTTATGCAACTTCAATTACAGGTGTTAGAAATTCTAAATTTCTAACTCTGCAAAATCAAAAGTTAGTCTCTGGCTTTTGTATAAAAATTCAGTTATACCATAGTGCAGTTCATTGATTTTCCAAAAAATTTGTATTGATATTTAAAAATTAATAAGGGATTATTTTTGTAATTTTAGATCATTTACTCATCAATATTCTATCATTAATCAAATATAGACTTCAAAAACTTTAATCAATTTGTTTGGTAATATTTTACCCAACCAAATAATTTTTTTTTAACTTTTCCTATCTAACTCACTTTTTCTGTAGATCCCTGGTAATTACATTTCCCTGATAAAAAAAATTTCACCTGTATCAAACGCCCTCTTAAAATTAACCATTTACTTTTATTCCACAGACCATTCACATAAGTTATATGAGTAAAAGTTATATTCTTAATTTCAATTATTGATATATTTTCATCTAGCAGTTGACGTGACTAATAACTTAAAGCCATTAAACACAAATATCATCAATGAATAAGATTTTGTAATCTGCCTCATAGTGATGCATATGAATAAGGACTCCAGTTTGTGCATGCATTATGAAGCAACGGAGAGAAGCTTGAGACTACGTGTTAGAATTGAACTACTGAAATCAATGAATGGCAAATGTTGGGTTCAATTGGAACGAAGGGCACGGTAAATATTATATAGGTTCAATTTTCTTCTAAACTAAAAAAAAAAAGTATTGTTATATTCGGAAAAAAAAAAAGTATTGCTGATTCTTTTCTATACCATTTTTGTTACTGTTTCAGAGGAAAGCTAGGAGGAATTAAGCAGGAAAAGAATATTGTTTTCTAGAAGCAAGTGTTTTCCATCGTTATAAAGCTTCCACTTGTAAAACAAATATTGTTCATTTTCTTTTTTCTTTGAATAGTCACAACTATAGATTGAATCGGACTTGATTCACGTGCTGCTGAATTCTAACCTTTTTCACTTTTACATTTAGATAAGAGAGTAGTTTCCACTTTTTAATTCAGACTTGAACTCGAGGTATATCATTAAAGACATAGTAATTCAACTAAGAGACGGAGTGGTACGTGGCAGTGTTCTGGAAAAGATTGACATTCAATTTCTAAAAAAAGAAAAAGAAAAAAAGATTGACATTCTCAATGATCTCACGTGAAACAACATTTTATGCACGTATAAAACAACTCTTTGTATATAAAAAGAAAAATTAAATAATCCTTTCTGCACTCGAGATTAGTTCAATAGGTGATTCAAAAAAGTTTATGAGAATATTCAAAAAAATTTACTCATCTCAAAGAAATAATTAAAGTTGATATAAAAAAACAAATTAATTAATTAATATTTTGGTTTTTTATCCATGAATGATAGTTTATGGTAACAAGTATTTTTTTCTTTTCTTAGTTTTTTATTTTGGGCTTTATACGATGAGATATTCTCTTGGGCCGACTTTCAGTCAATTGAGATTTTGTTCTTCCTCAAAGGATCTTAAGGAAGTGCCTTAAATATTAATACATTTACAGAAATTAACCAGCCGAACAAAAATAAAATTTTGTTTACAAGTGTTCTGTCCTAAGAACAGATGTCTAATCAAGAGATAGTGAGTTGATCTTAGAACTAGAGGCTCTCTTAAATATATATGGATTATATACTTTTGAGTTTAACATATCACTATTCATTAATAATATTGATATTAGCTATGGGAATGATGTGTATGTACAGTGATAGCATAACAATAAATAGAGATAAGAGTTCATGCCTATAGATTTTACTTTTTATTTATAGGCTTGACTTGAGGGTAGTAGAATTATGGATCTTGGTAACTCTTCTGAGGTTCCATGTCTAGGTTCGTTGATATATTACGATTAAAATCCTTGATTAATGCTTTCTTTTATTTATATTACTTTCCTCTTTGTGTTATCTTTCAATGGACCTTCTTGAATAAGAGCCCTTGGTCCATAACAACAAGAATTCATATTAAGGAACTCGACATGTGATAAAATATTCATAAAATGAATATATATATATATATATATATATGATAAAATCATTTCTGCAGCCGCTTTACGTACAACGACGACAGTTGTATAGTTATGATTTTCCACATTTTATACTTTCATCTTTTGTATACTTATGATTCCCCGCATTTAATGCTTTTACCTATATATATGGCAAGTATTTGATTGCTGCACTTACAACAGCTGCAGAAATGTAAACCCCATATATATATATATAGGGATAAGATCCATTGACACCGGTGTCAAATTTTGAAATTTGACACCAAACCTTAACCGTTGATTTCCGCCAATCAACGATTATCATTTATTGGCAATTAATGATTAATTAATAAGTGTAATTCCCAATAAATGATAATCGTTGATTGGCGAAAATCAACGGTCAGGATTTGGTGTCAAATTTCAAAGTTTGACACCGGTGTCAAAGGATCCTGCCCCATATATATATAATTATATATATGGGGCAGGATCCTTTGACACCGGTGTCAAACTTTGAAATTTGACACCTCATCTAATAATCATTAGATCAAAAAAGATCAATGGCTCTGATTCGTAAGCATGTGACACCATTGATCTTTTATGATCTAATGACTCTCATATGAGGTGTCAAACTTCAAATTTGATACTGGTGTCAAAGGATCCTACCTATATATATATAGAGAGAGAGATAGTAAAAAATGAGTGATTTATTAAATGGGTAAGAAAAAAAATATTAATCGTACAATCATTAATAGATGATGAAGATTAGAAATTACTTAAAAGTTACATAATCACTTAAAAAGTTCATTTAACTTTATATTTTAATCTTGACTATTTATATAAGGTATAATGCCATAATGGTTATTGAGATATTTTTACTCACCAATAGCAGACATATATATATATATGGGATTCTATTTTCTCATGTTGTTGGAGATAGTTATCTCCTACTATAGATACATGATGTGGTGGAACCCACCACTTATTAAAAAAAAAATGGTGGCACAATTTTTGATGTGAGAACAACATGAGATAGTTATCTCATGTAAAACGAGATAATGATTTCCCTATATATTAAATGGGTAAGGAAAAAAAATATTATTTATACAATCATTAATAGATGATGAAGATTAAAAATTACTTAAAAGTTACATAATCACTTAAAAAGTTCATTTAACTTTATATTTTAATCTTGACTATTTATATAAGGTATAATGGTTCAAAGGTGTTCCCCTCACTTTGACCAGTTACATAATCACCAACTTGAAAAAAATGTATTCTCTCAATGTCAAATTTTACATCTATTTCCCTCTTCACAAATATTTGAGATTCAATTGAAATCTATAAACCATAGAGAGAAATAAACACAAATTTCACAAAATTAAGCCTAAAATTTTAACAACATGAGAGAATTATTCCCAAACCAGGCATACAACATTTGCCTTTCGGCTGGTGTGAAAAAATAGTAATTCATGTAAGGCAATGCATGCATCACCCTTAAATGACAATAGCATTGATCCAAGGTATTTTAGCCGACCAAAGTCAAACTACGTTCTTCTCGTATGGCACATAAGCAACAGCCTCTGAACACAAGGTTTGTCAACACAGAATGTAACAAGTGACACCTTAGATATTTTTTTAAAAAATTGTGAAAGGAAAAATGGAAGATGCATCCAGCAATATTACATTTGATGGCTCATGATGATACAATAATCATCACTCCTGTACTCTCAAGATACTGGAGCATATTCTTGGATAGTTGAAGCCAGTTTATTTCGATCATCTTCTGTTTTCATCCGGATCAAGAAAGTACGAGCAACAACAGCATTATCTCCACCACTTCCGTCAGCATTACCCTACGAAATTATCAAGTTTAACAAACAATTTCTGTTGGCTATTCAAACATAGAAAGTGCGGTATAAGAAAGAAGGTGAAGATCGAAGATTCCAAATGCGGTATAAGAAAGAAGGTGAAGATCGAAGATTCCAAATGAAGGGAAGCAATTCAAATAACAATCATCCGGGGCAACCAGGTATAGCTTTTTCTGACAAAGACCAATGAAGGATACCGACATTCAGGTCCATTATTTTAAAAACTTCATTCTGTTATCTTTATCTTAAAAAAAACATTTGGACAAGCTAAAATAAAAAAGGGCTTATTTCGTTTTTATTTTATTTTATTTAAAAAAAAAAACAGAACCTGAACTATTTAACATTTCAAGAAGAGATTTTTTAACAACAAAAACATACTCTCGTTTTCTTCCCCAGAAAATTCACAATCAATAATTGCAAAGAAGAAGCTGTAGAAGCACCAAGAAAAAAGCTAATTGCTCCATCATGGTAGAAACAACTTGAAAGAGACAGACTGAACAGCCACTAGGGTTGATAGGACCACATCATTGACAGAAGACAGATACTGAACCTAGGAACAGGTTTGCTGATGGGCTAGAACTTAGAAGATCCTACTTTGGTTAGTGATCATCTCCATCAGTTATTGTAGAACTTCATGCACTGTAAGCTAGTCTAAACATTTCAAGTTTCCTCTCTACTCTCAAAACATTCAAGCATTGTTTTTTTACAGTGTTTTCTCTCTCTCTCTGTTTAGCTATATTAAACTTCGTTTCAGTATCGGCATGCGAGTTATCTGAAGGCATTTAGCTAAATGTGCAATTTTTCAACGCCTTACCGAAGTATGGAATATTGCAACAAGAGAGTTCTTCTGCAGATTTGTCTTGATTCCAGGATACAACAAGGCATTAAGAAGAATTTTTCCTACCTGTCATCAGTGCAGGTAACAGAAACTGAAACAATAAGTGACTTCTCAACAAAACAACAATAGGTTACATTTAGGCAATTCCCTAAAAAAAAATACTAGTATATACGCACTAGAAAAATATAAAATGAACAAACCTCATTTCGAACAATAATTGTAGGTTTGGACTCTTTGGTAGCCTTGCTGACACCCTCCTTGCATTTAATAGACAGCTGGCCCATTCCTTTATCTTTCCATACATCATTATCTGCTGGATCGCTAGACTGGACATACCAAGGGTAAGAGAATAAAATCATTGGGATGGACATAAGAAGATCAAGTGAATTGAAACAAGAACAGAAAAATAAAAACGCTGCCCCAAAACTATAGTGGCATATATGAGTATAAAATTTACACTGGAACATTGTATGATATATATAAAAAAATACCTTCACATAAAGCTTGCACTTCACTTCATGCACAACAACTACACCTTTCTCTTCTGACTTCTCGACTGACGGGCTGCTAGGTCGCTCCAAGTCATTTTCTGAGACCAAAGCAAGAAGGTTATATTCACCATCCCTAACTTCTTTCTGAGAGAAAGTTATAATTTATAAATGCCATGAATATTATTAAATGTCACTCCACTGGTGCCATAATGCACAAAAATTTAGCAATTTTATAAACATGACAAGTAAGATTATTGATGGCTTGCATGATGTTGAGCCATAGTATAAGTTCACAATTTAAATTAAGTAATGAATTAGATCTGAGACTCAGCAATCAGCCTGGTATGAGCAATAAAAAAAAAAAATTAGCCACTCAAAGTTGTAAGGGAATTAAAAATTCAAAGACACATGATTTATTCATCTTATTGCCAAAAGCGGGGAGCAACCCCCACCACCCCAATATAGTCAACATCATTTTCTCTAATAAATAATGTTTGGACATAATTCTCCATTTTACCCTTAGTAAAGTAAAAAATAAACTAGTACAGGGAGAAGAACATGTACCTTTTGCTTAATAACAAACCTATTCCAACAGTAACCTAAAAAAGACAAAAAGGGAAAATCCGGTACACAAAGGCTCCCCAACTTTATGAGGGTAGGGATGGATCGATTATATACAGTCTTACCCGTGTATTTTTGCAAAAAGGTTACCGAGAAAAAAAAATTAAAAAATAAAGTAAAGAAAGAAGATGTATTCAGGTTTGAAAGTGCTTCAAGAACAAGTTAACAGGTAAAGATGAAAAGACCAGCATCTGAAGTGCACAGTTGATAGGATAATAATTTTACACTTTCGTTTCATTATCCAGTTTATGCTCAACTATTGTATCTCTTTTTTCCCATATAAATAAAAGTTTCTTTCAATATTTTAAGGGGGGAAAAAAACAAAAGATTCCATTTTTATCTGACGAAAGCTGCAGATTAAAATGTGTTCTTTCCGGCATAGGGTTTCTTTCATCAAAAGCATTGCACATAGAGGGGAAAAAAGTAAATATACATCCATATGGCAGTATGGTATCTATAGCCAGTCATACACAAATTAACAACAACTACCACCGCCAAGCTAACTTCAATTATAATCATTTAAACAAGAACAACTTTTGACACTAAGTGATAAATGCAATTGTCCTAAGAAACCTCTGCATCATAAAAATCTTACAATCAGCAAAATCAAATACAAAGAACAAAAACCAATTGGATAATCTCTATATGCAATGAAGTAATTGCTAAAAGCTTATAATGACAAAAAAATGGGAAGCGCAAGCATCGAGTGCTCACCACCATCTACATCATCTGAAGCGTCATGGTTAGAGGGAGCAGAACCTTGATTTCCTAAAAATGAAAGACGGAAGTTTAGCAGCCAATCACAAAAGTGACATAATCTTCTGCTTAAGTTCAAGGTATATCATTGAGCGGTCTAAATTAAATGGCAGCAAAGATTATTAAGCATGTAATTTTAACTTTGCTAACCTTCACTGCTATTTATCAAAGGTCTTTAATTTTACAAATTCATATGCAAATGCAATATGAAGTTCCAGTCATGAAATGAGCATCTGTACAGGGGATTGAGAACTAGCTTTGCTTCACAAACGGAGGACACATGACACATCTCAATAATAGCATATTCTTTACAAAGCTCCAATTTATTATGAGATTCCTAAGCCAGTTCGACATAAATTCTATGAAATCTCTACTATGACTATCTAGCATGGATATCTGTCATTTAGACTTCACAAAATAATAAAATAAAAAATAATCAAGCACATGATAAACTTTTCTGCTTTTTATTTTATTAGAGTAATATTCACAGACTTACATTTCCACTTGAGAGAGGCATGCATTCAAGCACTAAATTCAACCAGTCTAATCTATAAGCTTTAAAATGTGAGAAGAAACCATTTGGATATATTTGAAAAAAATGTGAGAAACCTACCAAATACAAAAGCGTTTTGACTGTTTGGGCTCCACGAACTTGCAAAAATTGTGGCAGTATTAACAGAAGTAGACACAAATTTTTCTCCAAAAGTTTTATTTTCTTTGTTTGTTACTACAGGCAACGATGACGTTGATGTTGATGCTCCTGTTGATGTTGACGTTGATGTTCCTGTTGATGTTGACGTTGATGTTCCTGTTGATGTTGATGGTAATGTTCTTGTGGATGTTAATGTTGATGTTAATGTTACTGCAGGCAAGACTTTATTCCCAGCAAAAGAAACACCAGTATCAGCAGCCAAATTTTCTACCTTGGTGGCATTTGCTTTCAGCCAGTTAACAACATCACTGAATTTTTTCTGAAACAATACAACTATACATTGTCAATTTTTTCAACTCTGAAGATGCATGACTAGCACCATTATATAGTATGCGTAAGCAACAATGTGATTCTTAAGAAAAAAAAAATGAACATGCATGCTAATACTAGCAAGATAGGATGCCCAAAACAAGAAAGCATTTATATTTGTGCTTATAGACAATAAACAGACTCCAACTCTAGGTAGAACAAACAGAAATAGTATTATTATAACCATGAATAGCTACCTCTCAAGTAGAATGTCAGCATTATCACATATGTAAGCATGTCTATTAGTGTGCATACATCTATTTATTTCATTGAAGCAAGCAAAGCCACAGAACCAACAATAACACTACAACAAACCAGATCAGCTTCCTGTAAAATGGTATCTTCAATATAACACATTACTTGGGTACATATAGTAAAAAACTGAGTAAATTAGAAATACAAGTAATACATGACTTTAGTGCATTAAACCATATGAAGAATTACCATAATGCTTGAAGCATGATCTAAGTAATCTCTGACACCATCTTCCCAAAGCTCATCAGGATGATTCTTCAGTTGTGTTTGAACCCAACTGTGAGGAAGACATGCAGCATCACAATGAGAAAGGTAATGCAAGAACTAACACAGCATTCATAACCATAGAAAAGCAAAATCATTCAACCTAGACTATAATATATGAAGACATAATGATTTATAACAACCACTAACCAAATAAGCTAAACTCAAAATATAGAACAAGAGATCAAATCCAATTATCATGACCAAACCTTTTTGTCATTGACAGAAAAATTGAAATTCGACAATGAAGTAAAAGAAAATTTGTTGAAATAAAATAAAAGATGAACGCTAAACTCAAAATATAGAACAAGAGATCAAATCCAATTATCATGACCAAACCTTTTTCTCATTGACAGAAAAATTGAAATTCGACAATGAAGTAAAAGCAAATTTGTTGAAATAAAATAAAAGATGAACCTTGCAAACTGGGTATTTAAATCTCTCACATGCCGCTGGGATGACTCTGCCTGTTTCATATCCAATGGTGGCGTTGCCACCATTGTTTGTTGGGATGGTTCAGCCCTATGTGCATCAAAGAAAGGTCCTTCCATTATTCTTTTATTCCGGAACTGCATCATAGTGAAAATGGAGGTATAATAAGCTTCCACATAAAGATAATAGTTACAAAGCATAAAGGACAATTTACATACACAGAATTAATGACTTATTGATATTACCCATTAAGAGATGCTTCAGGTGAGTTCATTTATTGCTAATAAGGACGATTATTCTTTCTCATCCAAATCAACTCAAAAACTTTAAATATCTATAATACAGAAGGAATGTCAAATCTCATCGTCTAACTATTCAAATTCCTGCTTGCCCTCTAAACTCAATCTTTACAAATTCCATTCTGGGAATTTGGGGGCGGAGGTGGGGGGGCAGTTTTACCGTATCGCTCAGCAAAAGTCATAAACACTTACATACCAAAAGGTTTTTCAACATTGGAAGTAAGATAAGCATAAAACTTAAATAAAACCAACAAGATAAGTGCAAAATATTAAACATGAAATGATCCAGTTTTAATCACCAACACTCTCCCCTAATACTGAAAGTAATGACTTGAGAGTCTGATTATCAAAGATAATTAATAATCCTAAGCACATTCTAAAAACCCAGTTTTCTTACTGGCTATCTACTATTCTAAATTTCCAAGAGCAATTGCTCTTCAATTTACTGAATTACAAATAAGGACAAACTTTAGGAATGATAATTACAAGCATCTTCAGAACCCATTCTGTGGACATTCAATGATTGATAAGTTTATAAGAGTAAAAAAGAAAAATGACAAAAAATAAATAAAAAATGAACTTCTCACAGTGGAAAACTAGAAGGAAAATTCTATCCTATGAAAAATTGGGGTAGAAGTTGAAGCTAAAGTACATAAATAAAATTGAATCAAATTGGAATTGATCTGAAGCTCCAGAACTAAAAAGGCAATTGTGTTTTACAGTCACACTTACGGCCGTTTCGTTGGTATCGGTCTGGTCGGGTTCCGACACAGCTAAACGCTTCGAACCTTTCATCATCGGTTTTTGGGAAATATGGTTTGTGGTAATTACCAGTTACGCTACGCAGACGCCGAAGCAGGTAATCAAAAATCTGAAGGAGACAGTGAAGTGGAATTGGGTGGAAAGCCTCATTTTCTTAAAAGGGCACTTTCCAAAAATTATTAAAATACAAAGATTCGAAATGTTTTCTCAAAATTAAATGCGTCAATTGGGTCCGTTGGATCGGGTGGGGGACTCACTTTCAATTGCGACCGTTCGATGGTCACCGTTTAGGGTTTACTCTCCCACATGAAACCTCACATGGAGCACGTGCTCTTCTGATTTATGTCGACTTTGATGAGGCCCACTTCTGTGGTCTTGTTTAGGCCCAGTGGGTAACTAATCGTCAAGCATGTCACCGAGTTTTGAAAGGAAGTCCAGCCCATTACGACCAACCCCATAATCAAAATTCATCTGTTTCTTTACTCCGACTTTAAAAACGAAATTATAGATTTCATGTTTGTCATTTTAAATGATATAAGTTATGTCATTTTAGGAAAGAGATAGACACAAGGAATAAAAATCATAGGAGAGAAAGTAGGTGGTATTTTTTTAATTTAAATTTTAAATAAAATAATAATATTTTATGTCTATCTCTCTTTTAAAATGAATAACTTTATGTCATTTGAAATGACAAACACTTTTCTCATAAATTATATATAAAAAACGAGAAAATTATTTGTCATTTTAAATGACATAAAGTTATATCGAGAAAGGTAGACACAAAATAAATTTTTTTATTTAAAATTTAAATTAAAAAATACTCACTTTCTCCTTCATGATTTTTATTTTTTGTGTCTATCTATTCTCTAAAATGACATAACTTATATTTTTTAAAATGACAAACATCTATACAAAAAAAAAGGACCAACATCAAATCCTATAAAAAAATAAAATTATTAGAACACATTACGTTTAGGCAAAAAAAAAAAAAACCGTGTACTAAATTTCAGAGAGACAAGAAAACGGGTTAAGGAACAAACTTGTTGGTGAGACAAATGTTGGTTTTTGGATAAGTGATTGGGCCTTTACGTATTGTGTGCATTAATCTATATGTTGTCTCTATTATTATCTTGTAATTAATGAGAGACAAAAAAAATTAAAATAACAGAACGGACGCTCACTCAATTGACGTGGAAAATTCTACATGAGCTTTAGTATGGGAGAATATCAACCACGTGGGTGGGTGTGATAGTACAGCATCTCCTCCCTTAAGCAAGTGGTTGAGGGTTTGAATCCCAACTATTGTGAATGGAAAGCATTTCGTGGCCAGCTCTTTACCGTTTTGTGCGCTGACCCGAGACGAGGGATTAGTCTCATAGCTATCGGCTGTGAGGATACCCGGATGTAATCCAAAAAAAAGTATGGGAGAATATCTTTGGTACTACAAATATACTGAAAACTCGGTGCATCTTCTACTTATTTTATAACACGTGTCTTACTTTATATCAAATTATTCTCTCTCTTAATTTTTCCTAATTTAAAATAAATTATTTATTATTAATTTGACAAAAATAAAACAATGCACCGAATTTACGGTGCATTTGTTGAACCAATGAAATTTTCTTAGTATGGGCTTCATTTTTGGTATCTGATAACACTTTTTCCTTTTATCATTTTACCACTTTACATATGATTAATCTATTGTTAAGATAAGAAATAATATATTTTTTGAATTTCTAATCAGTAATATGTTGCGTGAGCATATCCTCTATTTTGCACATTGTCCTGTGTACCAACAGCATCTTCTACCGCCCCAATGCTGAAGACCCGAAACCTTGGATGGATAGTTCCTCCGTATGAACTAACTTACGCAAAAACAGAACTAATTCACATATATAAATACAGATAATAAGAAAACATTATAATTCACATTCTTTTGTTTCAAAAAGTACAATAAGAAAACATTGTATAACTATTTATTTATTTTTAAATTTTGAAACAAAAGAATAGATATTTTATATTTTCACCTCATTTGGAACGGGTTGTCTAACAAATTTCATGTTATCCAGTATAGTTTTAACTTATATTAATTAAAATAATTTTGTTTATATTAATAACTATTTTAAAAGATAAATTTATTTTAATAATGTGAAGATTATTAAAAAAATTACTCAAATAAATCCATACTGTAAACCATAAAGAAACTGAAATTATACCAAACAAAATATAAAACTTGACTAAGTTATGATCAAATATAGATTTTTTTTTTCCTTTGTTGGGTGAATAATATAGAAATGGTTCTGGGAGCAATGCATAGGAAAATGATATTCTGTCACCATACACAAGTGTCATCCGCAAATATAGCCGACTGTTTAATTTAATCTGCAAAAAATTATAATTTCTCTTGGTACTTTTTTTTATAGTAATTATCATTTTTTTTATAGTAATTATAATTTTTTTGGTTAATTACATTACTAATTAATTACAATATATTATGTTTATAAAAAAAAAAATTACAATATATTATGAATTCCATAATATCTGGTACGTTGTTCTATCAGGAGAAAAGAAGGAGCAAAAAACAAAATTGATGATTAGTAACTGTGAATGTTGTAATGAATCTAGCAGATCATCGTTGGTGGCATTTTTTTTTGTAATGGGTAGAGGGGTGCCGTCACAGGGGTTGTAATGGTCCTTTTAATTGGATCTCATCACATAACTTGATAGGATTGGCTAAAATCGGACCAAGATGCTTAGGTGGATATGAGTTTCGTCATGTGTTGACGGGATTACTCACGTTAGGTTGACCGACACGTTTGACTATTCTACTATGATTATTCTTCTCAAACATGCTTTGAACAGGACAATTTTTTTGTTAAATGTGAATCCGACGTGTTTGACTGCTCTACTATGATTATTCTTTTCAAATATGCTTTGAACACGACAATTTTTTTGTTAAATGTGAGTACTATAGTGCTTTTGCCAAAACTATTCTGTGCCTTGTAGTAATGCTTTTTTCATGGGTGCATTATCTGTATTTATATATGTGAATAAGTTATACATTTTCATAAGTTAGTTCATACAGAGGCACCATCCATCCAAGGGTCTTCAGCATTGGTGCCGGTGAATTTGAATGAAGACCCTGTTGGTACACAGGATAATGTGCAAAATGGAGAATATTTACAGGCAGATTACTTCGTCTGACATTCCCAAGTAGGTTATAGTTTATGTTGTTTTTATTGTTGTTGTTTTTATAAACAGAAAAGGATGACTCTGTTCCTCCACTAGTTGTAGCTCACATATATGTGTGCGTGTGGAAGACATATGGCGGAAGATATATAAGGAAATCAAACGTTAAAGACTTACTATATTGAGAGGATTTTATTTTAACTTTGTACATTTAGTCATTCCTAGTTTTCTTTTAACCTTGCCCAACTTCTCACTTCACAAAATTTCAAATAAATAGAATACGAGATAAGGTGAAAAAGATATATATCCCTATAGATAGTTAAGAAGGGTTGCTTCACCCTCCACTTGTCCACACCATTAGCACCATAGATAGTGTTGGGAGATCGATATTTGAGAAAAAGAAAATTTTAAAATGATTTTGAAGAAGAGAACACTTTATTTATGCTCAATATTCATTGTCTTTCTGACTTGATACAAAATGGTGGAGAACTTTTCTATTTATATTAGTGGCATCTCCTTAACCAATGGTTTGGATTGTGCTAACATGATTTCATCTAAGGGCTATAAATTATTTTCTAGAATTATCTACCGTCTCCTAACCTAGATATTGATTATGGTAGTTACAACAAATCTCTAGAACTCTCGTGGAATAGTCTAGAGTAGACGATTCTAGAAATTTGGCTAAACATCTCCTAAGGATTAATCGCCAAATAACCATTAATTCCAATTGAGTCATATTATTCAACAAGATGTACACAACATCGACCTATTGGACAAACTTCAATTGGTTTCTCGCAAGTCCCGAGTAACTCCATACATGCAGATGCAAGGATGAAAACCTTGATAACCATGATATCAGTAAAATCAAATTTTCCTTCCAAGAATTCCAAAATTTTGCTGCCCCAGAATCCCCTAGATGTATGCAGAGAAGAGACCATAAAAACAGATAAGAAAATAAGGAAGAAGAAACTTGCAGTTGCAGCTTCTCGGTGTCCTAGCCAGTGGTGAGGTCAAGCACGAGCTCGTTGACCAAACTAGTGGAGAAGTCAACTTCGAGCTCCATGGCAAGGCGTTGTATTTCTTCATGAAAATTTCTCCAACTCCCACACTTGTCTATCTCCTTAATGTATACTTTCAAACTCGAATACTGTTCCTGGGGTTGCCCGAGTACCCAATCCTCTGCTACCTTGCAAAGGTGGCTCTTCATTGAATTTTCAATATCATTATTGTCCCCAATACTCCGCCTGAAGAAATCGAACAACAAGTTCTCTTCCTCAATTCTCAAACAGGCAGTTGGAATTGACTTCTTAACATGGTTGAGAAGGTCGCGCGCTTTCTCTCCTAAGTTGTCCCCAAACAGGTTACTATTCCCGTTTTGGGTCCTCGTAACTGATACTAATACTGGACAAGGTTTCGCAGGATGGTTATATATTGGTTCATTTTCCTGCATTTCTGACCATGTGATTTTTCTCTCTAAGACAACCGGCTTTAGTGAAGCCACCCGATTAAAATGTCGCCTCTTCAGCATATGCTTGTGTTTGGCTCCTATAATTTGATCATATACTTGCATTTGTCAGATTAAGTAAAATATTTGTATGAACTACAGATGAAGTAAAGAAGAGGTAAATTACCTCCCAGCTGGCGGGAACTTGATGTAGAATTGATAGGAGATGTAATGTCTTCATCATCATCAAATACTGGGTAATCTAATACCGATACAGGACTAAACTGTTCCTTCTCCTCATTTGGCCAAGCCTGTTGTTCCATGAGAGTATACTTACAACCCATAAATTATATTCTTACGGGAAGCGAAATACCCTTTATGTTTAATTTTCTAGACATAATCAATTAAAACAATAATGGGATAGTCAAACTCAAAAATAGAACGTTGAAAATTTTGCTTCATACTATGGGGGGAAAAAAATTGAAATGTAGGCAGGTCTATGGTCCCGACATGTGCACGCTCCACTCGTGACAATTCTAGAATCACCAACCAATAACTCATCCTCCTAATTAGCTAACCTATTTTTGTTTATGTTTGTTTGTTTTTTTAGTTTTTCCATTTTCTCTCTCGGATCTTACTCATTTAAATTTGACAGAGATTCCCAAATTTTTATATCAAAGAAAAAGAAAGAAAGAATATGATGATTCAATTTTGACATGTACTTACCCTTGTTATGGAGGAGGTGTTGGTTGTTGTTAGTGATCCCTCCATCTCCGTGAAATGGGATTCTGTACAGCTGTTACTGTTAGCGGAGGAGGCTGTTGTTGTTGGGAACTTGGGTGCTCTTCTCCAGAAGCTTCTGTTACTGTTCAGCAGCCTCCTTGAAATGCTTCTAGAAATAACACCACCTTTCTTGGATTTACACATTTGGGTTTTGGACAACGGGGCTAGAAACGTTAGTGATTTCATGGCGTTGAGCAATGCTTCTGTAGCTCTCTGCAGAGTCCATTTTGTGGAACAAGAAGAAGAAGAAGAGCGAGGTTGCAGGCAGCATTGTCGGCGTGGGAGTGATTTGAAACCGCTTGATGAACACGAACTCAGGTCGTCCCTTAGATAATCCTTAAGCATTAACAGTGTGGGACTCTGTGGATGATTCGCCGCCATCATTTGATAACCCAGAGGTTTACCAGAACCAGAAGCCATTTTCGCTTCAGGATAAGTTTATAGGTTTGAATAGTAGAGAGACTCAGAGAGTATCAGTAGGATTGAGAATTAGTCAAATATGAGGGGGGAAGAAAAGACCTCAACTCTGGAGTTATTGGTTTGAATAATATCAGAAAGACACAGAGAAAAAGCAATTAACAATGACTGCAATATGCAAAATGTGTGGGTTAAAAGGATGAAACAAAAGAAACCATAAATTCGGCTTCTGATAGATCATCAGATGCAGAGGCCTTTTTTTTTCTTTTTCTTTTTTAAATTTCTGAATAAAGTAAGCCAGTTGCGAGCTAGCTTCATTTCAGTACATAACAACAGTGTTGCCTCTGGAATCGAGCGCAAATAAATCCACACACGTGCATGAATAAATATGCACTCAGTCGCGGACACGCCAGAGAATTGAGAGTGTGTTACTTATTTAAACATGCAGAGAAGAGAAGGGAAACAGAAAGAGACAAATTACTGTATACAGAGAAGGATACAGAGGGAACTGACAGCAGGAAATGTAACGACGGATTAAACAAGGTTCCGCGCTGAATATCTCAAATCTCAATAATATAAGACTGTACGAGATAAAATATACAGTGGTGAGTAAGCAAGGCCGTAGCCATAAAATTTTGTGACAGGAGCCAGAAATTCAAAATTTAGATTAATATTTTTCTTGTAAGAATAATTTGTCTCATGATATTAAAACGGAAATAATCTTCTTTTATCATGTACTCTTTTTATAATAAAAAATTAAAATAAATTATTACAATCTTATATTAATTTTATTATAATTAATTCATATAACGGAACGTTTCTGTGTACAGTGTATACCATAAATTACATCAGGTAATAATCAAGAATGACTGTTGCCGTGGACCTAAAATTGATGGGGTTTACAGCCAAAATAAAAAATAAAAAATTGATAGTTTAGTTTAGGCTGTGACGACCGACGAGACCAGTAGTTGACCTTTTGGAATCAAAATGATATGATATCTACACTTACTCTACCATGCTTTTGGCACATGTCCTTCTCGATCTCCCCTGGTTGACGTGCAACTGCAAGTCTGCAACTCATTAATTGTTTTTCCTTCTTAGATGCAAACAGATCAGTAGTTTCGTATGTAAACTCCAGTAGGAAAGAACTCTATTGTTTTTTTAGTGAAAGAACTTTTTTATATTTACTCGATTGTATTATTGATTTATATCTAAGTTTATATACCTTTTACATACTGGCGAAGCGACCCATGTCCAAGCCCAAGCGGAAACTGAAACGTCCGGCATATTTAGACCAATAGGTTTAACTAAGGCAGCCCATGTGTGTGTCCAGTGGGTCATTGGTTTTAGTGATTGTGGAGGTACTCAAAACCAAAAGTAGTAGTTAGAGCCTGTTTGTTTGAACTTCTCAAAAAAATAACTTTTATCTCTTCTTTATTTTAGAAGTGTTTTTTATAAAAGCTAAAATTATGTATACATTTATAAAAATATTTAATTTTTTTTAAAAAAATTGGCTTTTGACTTTTACTTTTCTTAGAAGTTAAAATTTTTAGCTTATGAAAAAAGTAAGTTTTTAACTTTTTTTATGACTTCTGTTTTTTTTAAAAGCCGAGATCCAAACGAATAAAAAACAAGAAGTGCTTTTTTTCTTGAAAAAAAACAACTTTTGAAGAAAATAAGTTCATCCAAACAGACCCTTAGTGTGAGTTGTAAAGAAAACAATTTCAAAGCTATTGGGCTTGGCGAGGGGTGTGGATAGTTGTATTAAATGATGTGTGTTTTAGTCTTTTCTCATATATCCAAAAAAAAAAAAAAAACAATTTCAATTTTCGTATTGTGAATTAGATATTTAAATGGGAATGGTTAGGAAATGAAAAAGGCATGTGAAAAAGTTAAACAACTTCTCTTTTCTCTTTCTCTATCTGCTTCTTTATCTCTCTAATCTTTGCCTCCTACGTTCTGATATTTTATTGAGAGTTGAGATTATGGAAAGAATTATTTACAGGATGGATTAAGGTAGTGTTATTAAAACTGGTTCAGTCATTGACCCTATCGAAGTATTGGATCACTGGGTCAATCAGTGGGTCTCAAGATTTCAAAGATCAATTGCAAAAAATTTCAAACGAAATTTATCATGAACTTTATGTTCTATATGTAAATTTAGAATTATTTTAATAAATAAATAAAAATTAGGTCTTATAATCATATATGCATAGCTCTGATACCAAATGAAGAAGATAATTTTTAACTCATTGGTCAAACCCAATAGCACGAACGAGAAAATGTTAATGCATGTAGGACTAGTATAATTTTAGATATGTGGAGAGTTGTTACTAAATAATTTTGAATGTTTGTTAAAAATTATATTACGTTTTATTGATTGAGAAAATTATAATAGGTTTTACTTTTTTTTATTAATATCATTGCATTTCTTTGTTATTTTTTTATTGACTCTTGTAATTTTGAATATTTGTTAAAAATTCATATGATTTTTTAAATTCTTATAAATCCATATTGTCCTTTCAAATCTTATAAATTCTATTAAAATCATTTAAAATCCAATTTTATGAAATCTTGGTTGTAAAAAAAGTCTTTAAAGTCCGTCCAATTCTAAAGAGTCATTTAAAACCTATAAGATTTTTTATCTCAAAAAAGTCTTTCAAAATCCTAATCAAATACACCCCCTTAGTTTTAAGGGTGAGAAGGGTTTTGGAGGATTTTGCAAAAATCTCCAATTCCCTTCTCCCATTTTTTTAAACTTATAAATAAGCAGAGGAATTAATAAAATCCTCTCATTCCTTTCCTTTCTCTCTTAAAACTAACTCTCCAAACAAAGCCTGAGAGTTTGGAGGGAAGGAGAAGGATAGAAATTTAAGGGAGTGGGAGGGGAAGGAAGGGAAAGGAAAAGAATGGTATTATCTTCCCTTATTTGAGAATTAAAACTTTCCAAATTAGAGAATTTTAATTTTAAGAATAAGAAAGATTTTGGAGAATTTTATAAAAATTTCTAAATTCTATCCCTCACTTTTTTAAACTTACAAATATCGAAATGGATTAATAAAATCCTTCTATTTCTTTTCCTTCCCTTCTAAAACTAATCCTCGAACAAGTTCTAAGTGGACTAGTGTAACTGCAAGCCCACTGCTTTTCCTACTCCAAAAGTACAAGTGTGAACTTTTCTTTGATAGTTGATGATAACCAATGTTGATTTGGATCCTTATTCTTAAAGTTGCAATAAGCAGTTTTTCATACTTTGATCTGGTGTCTCCCACTACCGCTACAGAATACAGCTATGCCTCCAGATTCCAAAAGGTTTAAAACGTTTTTTTGTCCTTCTTTTTGCTTATCCCGGTTTGGCACACAGCTCAACTCTAATATTTTACTACCATTCCTGATTGAATTTTTTTAGCCTCTATAAACATGCTTTGTTTTGTCATTCTCAACCTTTTTACTTTAATAAATTATGATATATAAAAGCATTTAATAGAAATATTAAATGTTTTTCAATTAGTATCTTCGGGATATTTATTATCAAAATCTATATTGGAAAAAATATTTGTTTTTTTAAAAGATATATGATTATATCATTTTAAGTGAGAGAAAAATACAACTTAGTATTTTTTATTTAAAATTTAAGTTAAAAAAAATTATTTACTTTCTCTCCCATGATTTTCATTGATTGTGTCTTTCTCTCACTTAAAATGACATAACTCTATGTCCTTTAAAAAGACAAACACTAAACCTATTTATATTATGTTCTCTTAATGAATCCTTTTGCATTTTTAAATTAGTTAAAATAATAAATATAGTAAAGCCCATTTTGAGTTCCTTACAAAAAGCATAGTCCCCACTTTTCTCCCTTACAAAAAAAAGGTCAAATTTTGATCCCTCTGTGATCTCTATGATTTCAGTTCTTTGAAACTGTGTTCCCTCAGAAATTTAATAAAGACTAGGGGTGTTCGCGGTCTGGATTGGATCGGTTTTGGAATCAAAACTCATCCGATCCAATCTATTCGGTTTGATCATGTAATCATCCATTCGGTTTAGATTTTTTTTCAAATCCGATCCAATCCAATTATTTTCGGTTTGGATTGGATCGGTTTTCGGTTTTTTGAATATCCTAAAATTAGTTTCATGATTATTGTGCAAATAACATTTTTTGTATATATTGGCTTTGTAAAAAAAAAAAATTAAAATACAAAAATATCAGTAAACAATACTATAGTTGATGAGACGTGACTAAGTTTTTTCTTGGGTTTAGTTGATGAGTTAATGGGTCTTGAGTTTAAAAATTTTTGGGCTATGATTGGAGAAAGGACAAGTAGGTATAGGATAATTAATATATTGGATCGGTTTTCATCAACCCATCCGAAAACCGATCCAATCCAATTAAAATTTGCGGGTTTTTTTCGGTTTTCGATTTTTCGGTTTTCGGTTTATTCGGTTATCGGTTTTTCGGTTCAGTTTTCGCGGTTTGAATCGGTTTGGATCGGTTGATGAACACCCCTAATAAAGACCCAATTTAATCCATAAAAAAAGACTAATATGTGTATTTTTCTATAAGGAACGAAAGTGAGAATCATATTTTTTGTTAGGGACCCAAAAGGAACTTTACTCTAATATATATCAACAAAAAAGTAAAATTCTTTAATAGTTAAGAACTTAAAAAAATATCATTAAATATTTGAAATAGTTATTAAAAAGATAATTACGAGTATATAAAATTAGTTTTTACGTCTTTTAGCACTTTTGTCTTCCTTAAATAGTTAACCTTTTCATATATTTTTCTATAAACAAAATATTAGCTTAAGAAATTATTGTAAAGCGAGAAGACATTAGTTACCAAAATTTAATATGTTACACCTATTGAATGTGTTTTGAATTATTAAACGAACAATTTTATTATTAACGTATTAAAATTATTATATTACTTTTAATCTCTTACAACAAAACTTTTAGGATTTTTTTTATAAGGAAAAGGGTCAAGTCGAGGAAACAAAAAGAAAATTTATTTTTGGAAAGAGTTTAAAATCTTAATCATAAATCTGTCTCGAACAGAATTACCTCCCATAAACAATTTTTATCCTAAAAAAGAAGAAGTAAAACTATCGGAAAAATAAAACGCGTCCATTAACAACAATCTTTCCTTTCGCACCATGCCCTTTTGCACTGGCGATTACTATTTGCCTTCATCAGCGCCCAAGATGTTACATGCCTACCAGCTTTCGCCTGGTTCGTCCTCGAACCACACTGTAATGGGATAGAGACCCTACTCTGATACCACTTATAAAAATACTTTTTTATTATATTTTTTTTTTATAAGATTTTTGATGGAATTATTTTTTCGTCAAAAATTTTCAACGTAATAAATATAATTTCTTTTAACATGTATTTTTTTAAAATTTTCGACGGAATCCAATTAAACCCAATCCGTCGAAAATTGAGATTTTTCTAATAGTGTATTGTCTTTTCTTGTTTTCAATCTTGTCACTCAATTAAATATTATAAACTCGGTAAAATATATATTTTTCTCTTAATGACAATGACTTTTTTCTTAATTATGATTTTTTAAAACTAATTTGTTGATATTACTTCTCAATGATAATAAATTTCTTAATTATGTTGTTTTTACTAAAATGTTAATATTAATTGGAGCGGACAAATTTAATCCGCCAATTTTAAGTGGGCCTCAAGGCAGTTGATGATAATGGAGGTATTTTCTTATTATAATTTTGAGTAAATATCATTTTCGGTCCTCAGCAAATTTTACGATACCCGCTTTAGTTCCTAATAAATAAAAAGACTATTTGTGGCTCCTAAGAAATTCAAAGTGGATCTATTTTAGTTCTTTGAGGGATTAATGTTAGTCTTTTTGAATTTGTGAGTGACCACGATTTCAACTAAATTGGTCCATTTTGAATTTTTTAGGAATCACGAATCGCCTTTTTATTTGCTAGAGACTAAAGCGGACATCTGGAATTTGCTGAGTACCAAAAGAAGATATTTACTCTAATTTTAATGTTGAAAAGGAGAAAGCAGGTGTCAAGATATTGTTCCGTTGCAAAACTCGAATTAGGTGACAAAACAATATAATTCTGCAATTGGTTGTTATGGAGAAAAATAAGTGTAAATAGATTAGGCCGGCTTATAGGGCCTGTGGTCTAGTCTATATTAGGTCAAATTTGACCTATTACAAATAGTCAAATAAAGTAAGTTTAGACTTTAAAAAAAATCTATTTATAAAGCAGGTTATAAATTTTTTGGTACATGTCAGATCTATAAGTCTACAGGCCAACCTATATTATATTATTTATTTTAAATAAAATAAATAAAATTATTATTTTAATAATTTTGAATAATAAAATAATATTATTTTAGTTATTTTTTTAATTATTGAATGTTTAATAGGCTTAAACAAGATAACAGGCCAAGGCCAAGGTTTTTATAGTTTTAAATATAGGTCAGGACAGACTTATAATTTTGGCCTACACAGGCTAACAGGCCAGGTCAAACTAAAAATTTTCTTATACAGATCTGACATATTTAAGCCAATGCCTAGCCTATTTGTACAATACCAGTGATCATGCAATATTGAAGACTTGATACATTAGTTATTAAAAATGAAAAAAAAAATCTATTTGATTGTACTTATTTAATCCATATTCTTTTTTATTTTCAATTCAATAATTCCACATGTTTGATTTTTTGAGATTAGAGATCGAACCGAGATCCTTTTTCACTCACTCAACTTCGTTGCACCGATTAAGCTATCATCATAAGCTATTTTATACATCCTTTTAATTATGATTAAAGTCAGCTGCATCTCGTAACTTAGAGCTCGTTTGTTTGCACTTTTGAAAAAAGTAACTTTTATCTCTTCCTTATTTTAGAAGTATTTTTTACAAAAGTTAAAGCTATTTATATCTTTATAAAAATATTTAGATTTTGAAAAAAATATTTGACTTTTGACTTCTGCTTTTTTTAGAAGTTAAAATTTTTAACTTCAGAAAAAAATAGGTTTTTGACTTTTTTGTGACTTCTACTTTTTTTAAAACAGATATCCAAACAAACTAAAAATAAAAAATACTTTTTTTCAAAAAAAAAAGCAACTTCTGAAAAAAAAAAGTCCATCCAAACAAGCTCTTAGGTGGTGTTTGGTTGGGGAGAAGTGAAAATTTTGATGGGTAACTGCATGTGGGTATCTGTCATTACCACGTTTGGTTGAAGGTTTTCACTTGATTTTCCCATCTAAACCAGATGGCTAGCAAAGGAGGAAGAGACCAAAAATTAGAGAAGTTCACTGCTGAGAAACCCCTTTGAAGATGTGGAATTGCTATTCAAAACTGGATAAATGAAAAAGTTTTTAATCACAAACAAGTTTACCCCTGCGATTCTTATCACAAACACCTCTAATTCATGTATGTTTTTTGTGAAACAGAGGCGTCTTTTCTCTATATTCTAATAGGGAATGTTGTCTTCCTCAATTGGGAAAAAAAGTTCCTGCCATCTTATAGTTCAATGGTCCATATGGCAGTGATGAACTCTTAATGATTGGGACAATCAATAAAACCAAGGTTGTTTTACGAGGATAGTTTCGTAATTTCATTAAATTTTTTTATTAATATTTTATCTTCAACTAAACACACATTCAGAAATTTAATTCAATTTCTGGTAAAATTTTGTCCAATCAAACAACTTTTTTAAAACTTTTCTATCTAACTCACTTTTACTCACTTTTCCTCTAGATCCCTAATATTTACATTTCTCTAGTATTATAAAATTTCTCCCCGACCAAACAGTACATCAGAGTGCTTCAGTCGGATTTTATTTATGGGTTACGTACTCCGTACGTAGTTAACGTAGCTTTCCAATCACATCCATATTTTGTTTATAGCTGCATGATTGCGTGGGCTCCCCCTTATCACTAATATTATTTTTTTGCCAAATAGCTCTCGTACTTTCCTTGAAAATTAGAAGCAAACAACTGTATCATACAAATTTTTTTTTTTTTTGAAGCAAGTATCATACAACTATTATGTTAATTTCACTCCACTCAACATAATATTTTTGTACATAAATTCCTTCGTTCTAATTGTCTGCAAGCCAAAAATGGGCGGAAAAAAGGGTAAGAAAATCACACACAGTAACTACTAATTTTGTGTGTGATTAAATTGACTTATCTTACATAAAAATAAGCTTTTGATCAAAAGCTTACCCAAAAAAATAAACCCCCACCAAACACGCTTTTAACAAGCCAATTAATATAAGTGGAAAGCTGACGCGTATCAAAAAGAAAAGTTCCATAGTGACACCTCAGCATCAAGTATGTCCACGTCATTCCAGTCCCCACCATCTCTTGCAGGAGGAGGAGGAGACAGCAAAGGCTCATCCGCAATACGCAAAAGCAAATCATGCAAGTCTTCAAATTCTGACACTGGCGGCGGAACTTCATCCATAGTCATCCCCTCTTGTTGCATAGCCTTATTATTAGCATCTTCCATTACCATGCAAACTTCATAATCATCTATACTATCCTTCACACTATGCTGCTGCTGCTCCAGCTTGTTGTTGCCCTCATCCGCAAATGATTCAGCAGCCTCCACCGCCGCTCTTCTTATCTCCTCCGCATCAGTTGAAGCTGGCACCGTCAACCGCCACACGGAGTCTGCGAAATTGAGACAAGCTGACTTTCCACGAAGTGCAAGCGCGGCAACATCGTGTGCACGTGCAGCCATTTCAGGCGTTGGGTATGTTCCCAACCAAATCCTAGACTTGTCGTTAGGCACTCGCATCTCGCAAACCCACTTGTTTTTGTTCCTTCGTCGCACTCCTCGGTAAACCGGGTGCCTCGTTTCCTTGAACACTCTTCGCCCCGCTCGTTTCTTTGGCCTCGCTGACGCTAATATGACTTCATCGTCAGAGTGAGCACTGCTTCGAACGTTGGAGCAACTTGTTTCCGACGAAGAAGATGCTTCTGACTTGTGACTTTGGGTGTACCCATATCCATAGTTCATCCCAGAAGTACGTACGTTCGCTTCGCTTTTGTGAGTGTTGAGTGTTGATTGATTAATGATTAGTAGTCGAAGTGAGTGTGTGTGTTTGTGGAGTTTATATAGTTTTTTTTTTTAAGGAGAGGTTGTCCCACGTATGTGGCTACGATGTGGACACGGACACGGGAACATTTGGCTAGGCTTTTCTCCTAAGTGGGCCAGTGTAACTGGAAGCCCACGGCTTTTCCTACTCCAAAAGTACAACTGTGAACTTTTATTTGATAGTTGATGATAACCAATGTTGATTTGGATCCTTATTCTTAAAGTTGCAATGAGCAGTTTTTCATACTTTGACGTGGGTGTCTCCCACTACCGCTCCAGAATCCAGCTTTTCCTCCGGATTCCAAAAGGTTTAAAACGTGTTTTTCTCCTTATTTTTGCTTATCCGGGTTTGTTTGCCACACAGCTCAACTCTAATATTTTACTACCATTCCTGATTGGATTTATTTAGCCTCTATAAACATGCTTTTTACTTTGTCATTCTCAACCTTTTTACTTTAATAAATTATGATAGATAAAAGCATTTAATAGAAATATTAAATGTTTTTTAATTAGTATCTTCGGGATATTTATTATCAAAAATTATATTTGGAATTTTTTTTGTCATATTAAAGAAGACTTTAATGTTTTTAAAGTAAATGTAGATAAGTTATCTATATTCGCTCTCAAAATGACGTCGTTCTAAGTTGAAAAATTAAAAAATTATAATAAAAAAGACTATTATAAACCTGAATTAAATTATAATTACAAAAATACCTTGCTTTCCGCCCCAAAACGATGTCGTTTTAGGCTCACTGTATATAAGTTATTTATATTGACGGTAGAAAAAATGAACACATTAAAGAATATATAATTATGTCACTTTAAGTGATAGAAAGACAAAATTTAGTATTTTTTTATTTTAAATTAAAATTTTAAAAACCAATCATTCACTCTCTCTTCCGTAATTTTCATTACTTATATCTTTCTCTTATTTAAAATCACATAATTCTAAGTTCTTTAAAATACAAACACTAAACTCATTTATATTATGTTCTCTTAATGAATCCTTTTGCATTTTTAGATTAGTTAAAATAATAAATATCAACACAAAAATAAAATTCTTTAATAGTTGAGAACTTCGAAAAATATCATTAAATATTTGAAATAGTTATTAAAAAGATAATTACGAGGATATAAAATTATTCTTTACGTCTTTTATCACTTTTGTCTTCCGTAATTAGTTAACCTTTTCATATTTTTTTCTATAAACAAAATATTATCTTAAGAAATTATTGTAAAGCGAGAAGACATTAGTTACCAAAATTTAATATGTTACACATAATGAATGTGTTTGAATTATTATATTACTTTTAATCTTTTACAGCAAAACATCTAGGATTTTTTTTTAAGGAAAAGGGTCAAGCCCAAGGAACAAAAAAGAAAACTATTTTTTGAGAAAAATTTAAAATCTTAATTCTGAATTCGTCCCGAATTGCTTCTTATAAAAAATACCTCTGGTTTATCCAAAAAAGAAGGAAGAAAATGTTCGGAAAAATAAATCATGTTCGTCCGTTAACTGCAACTATATAGTCAAGAATTTTAATATGGTTATCTCTCTCTGATTCAAAGGAAAATTAGCAAGAAATCATCAAGTATGGTGAGCAAAGTAATCTTTTGCCTGGTATCTGATCTTCAATGGACGGTAATTCATCCGGATTTGAACCGGTACACTACAAGGGTGATAAAATTTTCTCTATCAAATTTTAATATAATTGTATATTTAGGATTTTAACTAAAAAATACTAATTAAGTTGGAATGATCCACGTGATTAGTAATTCATTGTATGCATTTTAGAATAATATATAGGTGTTTGTCTTCTTGTTTTTGTCTTTATGCATTTTATGTATTTAGGAAATCCATTAACTATTATTGCATTTTCTTCATTTATTTGTTCGCGTTGAATGAGCTGTAGCAAGTGATCTGTATTAAAGCCTTTATTTTACCTATTCATTCTCATTGATTAATAAATTATAGTATTTTGTTTAAAAATCACTTCAAATTTTTCGTTCATATATTATTATTGATAATTTTTGTGAACTTTAAATTAAAAATTTATTTTGGATTTAAGTATGTGCAATTTTTTTATTTTAAATATTTTTATCTTTTAATATGAATATTCTATCTAAATGAAAAAGTAACTCATGCAATATATAGAATATTTATTAGTTCTAATAACGACTAAACTATCATTTTAAAATTTTCAAAAATACACTTAAGATTAAAATAAATTTTTAAAGATTTATGAAATTAAATTCATTACTTCAAAATGATATTAAAATAACATAAATTGATGTCAAGCATATTTACAAAACTAAAAGCAATAGATTAGTCTTAATTCTAATTATATGTTGTAATATGGTTAAAATTTAGATCTTAAGTAAAATTGGAAGAGGATTAAAAAATCGTAAAACTTAAAATCGTAATGTAAAAAAATCATAAAAACATTAAAGCGTTTGGAATATTAGTAAAATTATTTTGATAAAAAAAATCGTAAAAATATAAAATTATAATGATAAATCAAAATTTTAACAACAATATATGTAGTGCATGTAAGCACAACTCTTCGATGAATAACTTACGGGTGAGGTGTGACTGTGATATTGAGACTGTTTATTTATTTACTATTTTGGGTGTAGGCGAGCAGAAGACTTGGGCTTATTTGTCTGACCCAGTCCATTGTTTGATGACTTCTTCTATATAACAAAATAATCTTACACTTATCTTCAGTGATCCGTTGGGCTTGTTCCCTCTTCATGAACCGTTGGATTTTGACCATCGTGTCATCCTGTGCCGCACTTTCGAAAGCTTATTATTTTGACAGTTGTTCACTCGCCATATCATAAGAGACAGATTTTTTATTTTATTTTTTAAAGATTTTAATGTGATAAAATTAAGCCGTTTTGAGAGTAAAAGAAACTAACGAAAGGTCTCCTTAGTTTTTCTAACTCTCAAAATGATGTAATTTTAAATTATATGAGATAATTTTATTTTTTATAATAGAAAAATAATAAATCCTTTTTTTATTATAAATTCTAAAATTACATTATTTTGAGATTATAAAAGATACTTTTACCTGTTAGAGAAACACTTTTTCCTTTTCACATACTAGAGATAACAGTATGGGATTTGGTCCATTTAGGTTAAGAAAGATGAAAGCCTTTTGAAAATTTAATATTATAAGTGAGAATTAAAATGGTTTTTTTCACTCTTTTGCCACTCATTAATTATTTAATAACCATTTTGCCCTTTATTCAGAACTATCTACCAATCTGCCTCTCTTTAATCGATTAAATCAAAAATTTAATCGATTAAATGATCAAAATAGGCAAAAATCGTTGACTTGAAGATTTAGTCGATTAAATCTCCCTATTTAATCGACTAAATCTCCTATACATAAGGTTGTTCTTCTGATAAAGAGGAAGATTTAATCGATTAAGTTGAAGATTTAATCGATTAAGTTGAAGATTTAATCGATTAAGTTGAAGATTTAATCGATTAAATCTTCATTTGACCATTTAATCGATTAAATTTTTGATTTAATCGATTAAAGAGGGACAAATTGATAGATAGTTTGCAATAAGGAATAAAATGGTTATTAAATAATTAATGAGGGGCAAAAAGATGAAAAAGCCGAATTAAAATTCGCATAACGTCCTATATTTAGATGTCGTCAACTTTTTAACTTGGCAGTGGTAAGAGAAATATTTTTTCATTCTTTATAGATGTATATTTTATGAGATTAATGTTATTCTTACAATTTGAGATAAAATTATCTCTTATAACCAAAATATAACATTGTTTTTGGGGTTTGGAAAAGAAGAAGAAAAATATATTTTAGTAAAATTATTGAAATACTCTGATTTTTTTTCTAAACCCATAAAACAACGTCATTTTGAATTGTAGGAAATAACTTTAGAAATATTTTCCCCCTATTTTATATTTGCCAAGCCTCCTCAAATTTAAAAGAAAAAAGCCTGGAAAATTGGTTTAATTCGATATGCTTTAGATTAAATTGGATTGAATTTGAATTTAGAAATAGAGAATCAGATGATAAAATAAGAAAACGGGTGGAATTGGATCCTTAAAATTGATCTAATCCAATCGGTTCTAGAAATAAAATTGACTTTATTGAACCGTCCGCACTAACAAAGTCTAATGGGTCGGCCATCGAGGTTCATATAAAGTGTTTGAATGCATGTAGTAAAGTTATTTAACTTCTTGATAAAATTTCCAACCTCTCGTTCATTTCACTGATTACAGTTATAGCATTAGTTTTATTTTATCAAACGATTTTTTTTTTATCAAACAATTTTTACCATTTATAGGTCCATGATAATAAAAATGATACCAGATTACCAGTTCCTCAAATAGCACTAACTAGGGTGTTCGCGGTATGAATTGGATCGATTTTGGAAGCAAAAATCATCTGATCCAATCCCTTCAGTTTGATCATATAATCATCCATTCGGTTTGGATTTTTTTTCAAATCCGATCCGATCCAATCCAATTTTTTTCGGTTTGGATTGAATCGGTTTTTGATTTTTTAAAAATCCTAAAATTTATTTCATGATTATTATGCAAATAACATCTTTTGTATATATTGACTTTGTAAATTCTTATTATTTTAAATACAAAAGCATTAGTAAACTATAATATAGTTTTTTTTTGGACAATGAGATATAAAGCTCTACAAAGAAAAAAATTTGTTGATGAGATATGACTAGATTTTTTCTTGAGTTTTGTAACATCACCGTCTCGAGCCGGTTCAATTAACATGCATATGATACAAACAGAAACAGCGGAACGCTTAAACTTACGAAAGTACAAGCTAACTTTTTCTTTTTCTTATTCCTTTTTCACATGACATATCACATTGCACACTTCTCCTAGTTTAATTCTTATTCGACGAAGACGAAAATCG